TGCTTTGTCCTTAATGTTGTTTCTTTAAGTAACTTCACCCAAACTTGCTCTCATAATTTTTTTCTTAAAAATCTTCTCAACAATCTGCTTTTTTTAAGTCACTTTAATCATCTGCTGGTTTTCTATATTTTTTCCTATTTCCATACAAGAAATTTCGAATTCAGGGTCATTATTATTTACCTTCCACTTCTGCATTTCCAATCAAACCTTTTTCTTTGAGTCAGGCATTCAGCAGGTCCCTGTCTCTGGCTTACAGATCTGGGCAGCATTGTGCCATCTTCTGCCTATCCTTCCTCAGTTAGACCTTTCTGTATTATTGCTGCTGTCGTACGAATTTACTCACTGAGTTTCTGTTATGCCACGTAGTACATAAAAATCACAGTCTTGACTAATCAGAAGAGGGAGATTTTGCATGAAAAATTCTTTTTTATCCAAGGGCTTAAAGGCTTTGGTTAAACTATATAAACTTTGCTATATAAGGGGTTTAAGGCAGTTGGGAAGAGAAGATGGCAAAGTTTGAAAAGTACTTCTGTTAACCTTAGAAAACATATTCCCGGGGGGATAACAGCAAACCTTTATTGTTTAATTTTATGAATTCTTGTCTTTCTGCTTGGATGTCACCGTTTCCTGTCCCAGAGTGTAGTGTACTCACAGCCACCCCTCAAATCCCCCAAATCCACAATGGCCTGGTTTGGATTACCTAGGAAGATTAATACCTGAAACTTTAAAGACCAGTTCAGTAAAGTGTCAGGACACTTTAAAAAGTAAAATTAACATTTTTCTTCTAATTGCATTAAAAAAATCATCCCTTTTGGTTCCAATTAAATGCCAAATTCTGTTTTACATACTGTTTAGAAGCACTATGAGATTAGCATTAATCATTTGTATTCAATAATTGCCTGATGATGCTGAACCTTGGATAACAGCTGCCCTGAGCTTCGTAGCTATGTAACAGGTTGCTAGAAAATCTGAAGTGTTCTTAGTTCCATACATTGGAAGTGCTCTCATAAATTTATTGATTTACTTTAAGATCCTAAATTGGAATAAATTTTTTTCAATTACATATGTATATTTTGATATAAATGCACATGTATATAAGTATATACGGGTACATATGTGCATACACACACTTTTCTTTTGAAGGAAGATCGTTTTTATACAGTCATTTCAGTGTTATTGAATGTACGTTGTTCTCTCTAGCATGCTGGAGATGAAGCCAAGCAATGCCTTTCAGAGTATCACTGGCAATTTTACCTCCTTCTTTCTATCCTAATTTCAGGTTAGGATTCTTTTTATATGATGACAAGCTTGCACTTGCATATGCTTTTGAAACATCCCATTATTAATTTGGTTTTTCTGTTGTTTTATTTATACATAAAGAGGTTGCCAGAATGGAGTTTTATTTTTAATTTGGAGATCTTCTTTGGAGATTTTTTTTTTTTAATTTTTTATTTTTGGGTTTAAATTGAAAGTGGGGAGGTTTAGATTGGATATCAGGAAGAAGTTCTTCCTGAAGAGGGTGGGGAGGCACTGGAACAGGCTGCCCAGAGAAGCTGTGGATGCCCCATCCCTGGAAGTGCCCAAGGCCAGGCTGGATGAGGCTTGGAGCAACCTGGTCTAGTGGAAGGTGTCCCTGCCCCTGGGAGGGGGGTTGGAACTGGATGGGCGTTAAGGTCCCTTCCAACCCAACCTATTTTATGATTCTACGTAGACCTCATGATTTAGAAGATGAGATTTTGGTAGAGGAGCAGAGTATTTTTATGCCTCAACATATATTTTTATGTTAAATGGTGTTTAGTTTTTAAATCTGTTTCTCATAGCATTTTCCGTGTTCTGCTCCGTAGTCTGCGTTTTTCCATCAACACGGATGCACGACCAACGATACCAACGCAAAGTACAACAGCCGTGGTGCTCAGCTTTACAAGGAGAAGATTAAATCTCTTGCAACACAGGCAACAAGAAAGCATGGTACTGATGTGAGTAGTGTGTGTCCCGTGTCAAGATGTCTGGAAAACTTTATCTTCTTTCCCCCCGGAGTGATTTTAATCCCTACTTAGTAATGTAAAAGATTATCTTACTCTGGGACGTGCTGATAAACATTGCAGTGCATAGGCAAGCTGGGGAGTAAACTGTAGCTTAGCTTGTTTGTTTGGAAAAAGAATATTGAGAAAGCTCAACTAGGTATTTCGGGATCGTTTCTGGGTTATTCAAAACATTAATTTCAACATTTGCAGTAACTTACAGGAGTTCTAGGCAAAAACTTCTGGTGTTCTTCACAATGGCAACTGTTTGCAGGTGTGCTGCAAAATTACATCAGTAATTGTTACTGATGTACAGCGCGTGAAAGTGCTAATAGAACTAACTACAAAATACTTGTGATTTAAGTGGGGTTTGATTTGAAGGGGTAAACGTGGGGTTTTGCTCAAAAATACTAGATGAAAAATCAGCAAATTCAACATGTTCTGAACTTGCTGTTCTGCATTACAAATGCCTATGCAGTCCTGGGGGCTGTCAGAACATTTAGTTGGGTTGCTGACAGGAAGAACGTACTCGCAAAGCACGCGGAATTAGTTTGCTGAGGGGTTGAGTAAGTTTGTCAGCAGTTCAGCGTACACAGAAAGCGTGTTTTGGTTCTGTAACTCGGCTTGCTGCTTCAATTGGTCTGTGACTGAGTCAGCTGAAGTTGATCAGATGTTTGGGAATTAAAAGAAAAGAAAGCTTGGGGTTTTTTTCTTTCTAATTTATGCGTCAAATAGCATGAAATTTACTGGATTATAATAATACTTATAGACCGTATAGGTCACATCACTAACTTCAGTGAGTCAAAAGAAATATACCATGAACAGCTTGACATGTAAAACGTGTTCAAGTAAATACAAAATACCATGGGTATTTATGTTGACAGTAAGTTCCCCAAATGACACTTTGAAGAACTGTGATTATCTTGCTTCAATTACAGATTCCATCAAATTGTTTTAGAGTAAATATGCATTTTTTTATTTAAAGAATTTAGTCAATATGCTTTTTAATTATGTACTGCAAGCTGATGTGACTATGTGCTATCTAAATTGCAAATTTTAATTGTAAATTATTGTAAATAATCATTTAATTATTTAATTGTAAATTATTCAGATAATTAGATTCAGTACCAACCATCCCCTGCTCTGTCACATTTTAAAAATTTCTTCTCTAATTTACTGATTCAGTTGATTGTTGAGTGACCGGGTGAGCTTGTTGCACACTCCGTAGCCCCTTTTTCAGAGGTCATTATTTTTGATCATGTATCTTTTTGCACGTGGTAGTGTGCAGATCACAGGTTCTAGGCCTGTCCTGCACGATGCTAAGAATGACCTGCGGCACTGCCCAGGCCCTCCAGCCTGCCCCGAGGTCAGGCCTAGCTCCAAAATGCTGGTTAGCATCTTGAAGAACTCTGCTCTAACTGTAGCAGAGGTTTTGGGACTCTCAGACTGGGTGGGAAGCTTTGTCAGGAGTAGCAGACCACACTGATACAGCTCTGAAAGCTCTTTCCGATGACTGCTGGTGTTACGTTTCCAGGTTTTTTTGCTTAGGGCAAAATATGAGAGAGAAAATACCTTACATGAGAATCTGAAAAGAAACTTACTTGTTATAAAGTTCTCGTGATATTAAATCTTGACAGTATTACTGCAACTGAGCTTATACTGAGCATTTTGTTAGGAAGTAAATGTGAAGGAACGCATCAAAGATGCAGGAAATAAATAAGAACAAGGAATGTCATATATTGAAGCTTGAATGAATTTGTAAGGAAAAATTATGTACCAGGAAAAAAACCCAATGTATTTATAACTTGGGAAAAAAAAGAGTAGTTCTAAGATTGGAGCATTTGAAAAAAGAAAATATTCATGCAGTTATCCTGTAAAATTCTCTCTTTTAATTCTAGCTGTGGACAGATGGATGTGGAATGCCACCTGTGTCACCTCAAAACAAAGAGGAAGACTTTTTTGCATCCCATGTTTCTCCCAAGGTACAGGTTACCTCTATTTAATTCTTGTTGGTTTTCAAAAACTTAGATTAGCTGTGTGCTCTATGATGAAGATGAAACCCTGAAAGAAAACCATAGAGAAAAAGGGTAGGTCAGGAAGATAACATTTCTCTGCTTTTCCTTCTGTGGGTCTCAAAATCCTTCCTGGATGTGAACCACTTTCAAACGTGGTAATTTAGCATGACCCAAATAGTAACTAAATGAGGAATGGAACTGTGGGTTTTTTTGTAGGCATACAATTCCACTTGGACTGCTGATTTCTTGCTTGGGAGTGCCCAAGCAAGAAATTTAAATATAAATATACTTTAAATATACTATGTGATAACTTCGGGGTTTAATCAGTCACGTTTAACAGTTCTTAAAACATTTCCTAAGCATTTTGCCCCAAAATATTTACATCCTCTGAAAAAGTTGCTTCAACTTTTTCAGAAGTTGCTGCTGTTAGTTATCATTTATTTGATCCTACCTCCTCAAGGGGACAGATGCTGTGCTTATTTCACAGGTTAATGTTTCAGAGACTCTCTTGAGTCTGGTATTTGAAAAATACCAGTGAAAACAACTTCCGCAGTTGTGATCTTAATCTTTGATCAATTAAGTTGTGACTACGCCTAGCATTCCTCAGTGTTGCAACGGTGTTAAGTGTCCCAGTATAACTGCTTTCTGGTACAGTTGCAGCCTGCGAACCCCTAAAGCACAAGTGTGATCACGAGGCATATTTTGGGATATGTCACGACGCTGTGGGCGTGCATGTGCGTTAGCAGCAAGTAACAAAAACCTACGCAAGCTGCTCATATCTGTACCCGGGTAAAGAACACGGTAAAAAGGACATGGCTTTTTAGTGACTTTCTCGTGTATGTGGGAGGCTTAAGGATGAAAAAAAGCTGTGGTTTAAATGTAAATTTATTTTTGATTTTGGTTTTTCAGTTGAGTGGGAAAAACATGAACTGAGGCGAGCTAAATAAACAGAAGTTTAAGCAGAAGAGGGTTGTAAATATTTTTGGGGTTGAGGACAAGAAGTAGGAACTTGGCGCAAACCCTCTTAAGAGAAAGTATGGGTGGGATAAAGTAAATTTTCACGGCCAGCTTTCGGGTAGCTACAAAGGCAGGTGGTTAGAGACAAGCAGTCTGTATACCTCAGGGCGAGAGGTTGTTGGGGTAGAGATGTTTTGAGAGGGAGGTGTCAGGGAGTTTTGAGATTGAGGGAAGAATAAGCATGAACTGGCAGGGACACAGCATTGATGGACAGGGTAACACCAAGCAGATACTGTCCTGACCAGGTCACAAGCCTGCCTGGTGAGGAGCATGTGTCTGAGGGAAGTGGGAGGACTCATCAGGAAGGACTGGGAGGACTAGTCCCCAAAAATTAAATGTTGGAAAACTGGGAGTGTAAGAGCTTGGTGTGGGGAGGAGGTTTGGTGATTCTATGTAAATAAGTGATCGCGATTTCCTTGACTGTTACGAGTAAAAACAGTTGATAGCCAGCCTACAACAAATAAATGTAAAGCACAGTCAAAATGCATATTGGTTTTTTGGGTGGTAAACATATTGAAATTCCTGAGAGGGGGGAAATACGGGTGCTCAGGAGTGGTTTGAAACCAGCTCACTTTTAATAGAGGGGGGCGTTTCTTGTAACTTTAACTGCCTTTCCGAGAACAGGTTTGTAAACCTAGAAGCTGTAGTTGTAAGAATCCAATATTAACCCATCGGGGATGCTTAGTCACTCTTTGAGCTCAGAGCTCTTATTTATTTGCTGTATTTCATTTTGTGCGCACTTCTGATTTTGTCATTTTTTGCAAGGCAAATACGGAGTGGGTGTTGCCAGAGCCAGTTTCTCTGCAGCAGAAAACTTCAGAAAACATTCCAGAATGCTACGAAGGTATGAGTGATTCTTTGCATAACAATGAGCTGCATTTTTCTGGCAGCGTCTTTGTTTAGGCTCTTTCTACCCTACTTGGATAGTTAAATAACCTGACCATGCTAATAACACAAGAATTTTGGGGATGAGGGACGTTTTAGAAGGGTTATGCCAGAATGTGTGGGACTGCATGTTCCTTTAATAATGTGTAATAGAAATCCAAATTAAAATTTGATTCAGAAGTTTTCAGATCAATTTTTGGGTACCTGCTGCTCTTGTAGTAACTGGTATAGGAATAACACATTATACTGTATGTATCAAACAGTACCCTGAGTACAGTGGTTTGGTATTTTAAGCCTTCTGAAGAGTCTTCTATCTTCTTACCCTTGTTATTCACTATGTTTTAGGACCAGAACATGGACCAAGTGTTGATTGCCTCAGTACATCGCCAAAAGCTGCCTTAGGTAATGAGTGTGAGTAGAATCAAATAGCAGCCAGTGTAGTGGACTTAAATATTCGTATCTACAGAGAATGTATGACTGGGCTGAGATGTGGAATTCTTACTTCAGTGTGCACGAGTTCGTGGAAACACCTGAATTTGTGTTACAACAACTTCTGCTAAACAGTGTACTACTTCTAAGAAATCAATTTTAGTCAGTGTTGCTCTCTTTTTTTCCATCTTACCATAGCCGACCTGATGAATTTAAATGCTACAGGTATCACACCTAGCAGAGGTGACCATTGATGTTTTAAAACTCCTGTTAGGCTGCTTTAAGTTCTGCATTTAAAGCATGCAGGTGGAATGGATCATTGTGCTGGGATTAATGGCCTGTTATTTATGTTAAGCGAAGATGTCTTGTACTAATAAGTCGGTCTTATCTAGACAGAGTTTTTGCTCCCCTTTCAGAAAACTGAACATAAAAGTTTAGACTGGAGAAATTTGCGATACAATATCTTCAATGTCCAGAGTCTTAATGTACTTGACACTGAAGAGTGTATTGTACTAGAAGTAAGTAAAAAACAATTGAGGAAAACAGAATAAGTAAAATAGATCAGTGGTTTATCATTTTGAGGGTCATCCTGCAGGAGCAGGTTTCTGCAAATGAAGAACATTGATTCTCAGCAGCATAGGGGTAGTAAAGAGGTGGTGGCTGGGGCTCACTCAGTGCTTAATGAAGCTATGGTCTTCATCGCTGTTTCTGTGTTCACTTGGTTGGGTTTTGGTTTTTTTGAGAGCTGGAAAGTAGGAAAAAGAGTTAACCACATTCACTTCCTGGTTTTCTCATTTGCATTTTAACACATGTTCTCATAAACCAAATGCTCTTCTTGTTTGTTTTGGACATCACAAGTTCCATCTTAAGTGAAGACTCTTTGTTCCATGTATGCCTGTTTCCAGCTAAATTTCAGCTCAAACCAGTTTTTCTGTGTGTCCAGGCATTCAATAGTTGTCATTGATTGAAAACTTCGGCTTGAGGGAGATTTGCCCTGGCTCAGGACAGCTGTCAGGAGGGCAAAATACAGTGCCTTACACAATGTCGTGAGTCCTAGTAAGGTCTCATAAAAAACACCAAGATGAGTTGTGTCAGACTTCACGCAGAGCAGAACGTAGGCCCATTTCGGTGTCTCAAGGTTTAATGCAAAGCATTAAGGCTGGAACTTCCGAACTTTGTGTATCAAGCTAGACTCCCAGTGCTGCACTTAGGCAAGTGAGCAAAGCTCTTCCATCTGGTGAGAGTATGTAGTCACCTCTGATGATGCTTGTGGTTCTGTTTATGGTGAGACAGGTATGTTTTATCTGTATCATCGCTGGGTTTAAACATGGCCAATACCTTTCTGTCCAGGAAAACAAGTCATCTTGGAATTGGTACGGGGTGAGGCAGACCTCTCCTCTAGTCTGATTCAGAATAGCAACCTGTGTTCTTGTTCTGTTTGCTAGCAGATAAATACAACTGAAAACTGAGCTGTAATTTTATTCCTATTGTGTATTTGCAAGAGGTACCATATCCTCATTCGGAGGCACTTTCCCCTATTTTCTTTGAGGTATTTCCATTCCCTGTAAACTCAGCTTAGTGTCTCATTCCCTTCATGTAGAAACTGTAATACTTCAAGGCATTTAAAATAAATTCCAAAACCTATTTGGAGTCTGATATTGTGGAAATTATCTTCTGCAGTTCTGGAATTAATAAAACTGTATGTCAAGTAACGCACATTTAATCCTTGCAGAGGGTACCACCATCATAAAAAAGAAGCCAAATCAAGCTAAGAAGGGGGTAAGTGTATAAAAATAATGCTTATTTTAAACTGTATTATGGATATCTAGGAATAGGTAGATTGCAATGTGGAATTGTGTAGTGTAAGTTAGCACTAAACCGTGCTTGTGTTGGTAACAATTTATGAAACTGAAATGGAATTTAAGAAAGTTTCTATATCAAAAGTCAGTGGTCTCTTTGAAAGTGGATTATTGTTAAGATGAATCTAAGAGGTTTCTGTTTTGTAGTAGAGCGCTTCAGGTCTGTGGGTTGTTTTCTGACCTCAGGTAAATTCTGTTTACCTGTATTTAGCTCACTGAACTGTCACGACTCCCACATCTCTATCTGAGTGTCATTTTCTTTGTGCTCTTTGGACCTCAACAGCAAGTGATTTTTTTTTTTTTCCCAAAAATGAGTAAAATACAAATGTCAAAGCATATATTGATGTCAAGGTCTGTATCCCCCTTCTCTTCAGTTCTTTTCACAACCGTTGTCCCTGCAGCTCCGCTGGTGCCCTGTAACCTTTCTTGGTCGCTTGCTGATGCCAGGTTGCAGGGCTGCTTCAGCCTTTCACCTGACTTAGTCGGCACTGAGATCTTTTTGCAGCAAATCATGAAGAGAGGGAGTTCCAACGACGCTTTTGAGTGACAAAATACACGTGTGGCGTCTTCTGTCAATGTAAGGTGACTTTGAGACATTCAGGTACATGTTTCTGAGCAGTCCTCATCCCATACCACACAGCAGTGTGGTATTTGGTTGTATCTGTAGGTAACTTGCAGCTGCATTCGACTGAAGGTAGTTTCAGGGTGGTTTACAGACCTGTTCCTGGATGGGGCCTTAGCACTTTCTTAGGCATCTGGTCTCTGTAAACCAAGCATGAGGGGAGTCAAATATCTCGGAACTGAGGATTCAAGGAACCTGAAAAGTGAGTAAGACAGTGCAAGTTAAGTTGGCCAGGAAAAGCAAGGTTTTGAATGGATGGCTCCTGAGGCCCAAGAAGAAAATAGCCCTTAGAAAAATTAGAAAAATAGAAAAATAGAAAATTAGAAAAATAGAAAATTCAGGTGACAGTATGTTACAGGGAGTCACTTCTTTCAAGTGAGCGAAAAGATGGCGAAAGATTTTGAAGAATGATTGGAGCAGATTAATTTAGATTGAAACCTATTATTTCTTGCTCCCACTAGAGGTCCCTAACACAATTTCTTATTCTGAGTGCTGTGGGCAGGTACGTTCCCTTCCAGTGGGAACAAGGCGCCTGGGTTCACGGGTGCACGTACAGTTTGAACTGTGGTGTCGGAGCCTCGGACTGTGGGTACGTGGGGCAGAGCTTTTACCTGAAGACTTCAAGGTGTTAATAGGCTGAGATATATGCACTGTGAAAATTCGTGTTGCTGCAGTGTTGCAGAGGAGGGATTACACCCACGGGAGACTGAGAAGAGCAGTCTGAGTGCCGTGTCGCCGTCTGAATCAGCATCATTGTATTTGTAGTATTAAGTGGCTTTGAATCTTTGATAATCAGAATGAAAGAACCAATATATCCTTGTATTGAAGTACTATGACCTAGGATTATTTAAAAAGAACGAGTGCAAATGTGGAACCCCTAAGCTTACGTCTTTATCTAGGAAGAAAGTTTACAGTGCTTTGTCACAGCAAAGGCTCATCGTGCATTCACATTTATGAAAACTTGTATCTTGCTCTCCTACCACGAATCTGTAAATACCTCTGTCCATGCTTACTGAAAGTATGAATAAATCCCTACTTAATCTGAAGATGACACACTAGCACTGGCCAGTGAGAACTGATGGAAGAATCTTTGCCGCTTCTAAATGTGAGTTGCGAATTAAGTGAATGAGCACCAAACGGTTCCATTGCAACGAATTTTATGTTGTTATTCCTACGCAGCAAAAACATTATTAAGAAGGTGGAATTTTGCTATGTATTATCACATTTATTTGAACGTGCCACGCGCTGAACAATTAAAACTGTAATAGTTTCATTACCCTGTAATGGTTGACTGCAGAACTAACTATATTTGTAAGGGTTAGGAGCAGCAGGATGTAGAGGGTCTAAACTGACTTCATTTTCACCATTTTTCTGCTCCAAGTTTTCACTGCTGCTTGCGTATGCTCCTGAACAGAATACAGTGTTTACCTTTGCTTTCAAAGTGGACTGTTAAGTCTCTTGAGGTGATTGTCTCAGTTGTAATGTTGGGGCTTTTGTTTTTTGTTCTTTTGATAAATCAAGCTTGGTGCCAAAAAAGGTGGTTTGGGAGCGCAAAAAGTGAGCAGCCAAAGCTTTAATGAGATTGAAAAACAAGCACAAGCTGTAGATAAAATGAAGGCACAGGAGGATCTTCATAGCGGTAAGAAAACTGAGAAGGAAGAGCCACTGTAAGTATGAATTACATATACAACAGTAAAACATGAAGCCTAATTTCATGTTAATGGAGTAATTGTCAACTTTTTTAATACTACCAGAGACCAACTCATGTAAATAAAACTTCAGTTCTTGCTTTAAAACAAACAAAAAGCCCCACAACCACATGTGGATGATGTGGGCCAAACAGTAATTCCCCATTGCCCTATTTTTTGGCATTAAGTGTATGTTCCTGCAGTTAATGATTTACCACAGAAATAGCTCAGTGCTATCTTTAAAAGCAACCTTAGTGTTAATTCTTATTTAACACAGAAAACACATTCTACTGATACCTGTGTATAAAATATGAAATAAATCTAAAATACGTTAAATTTAGGTATTGCCACAGAAGACTTGCTGCTTGAACTTTCTTGTGTTATGCTACTTACCCTATTTATTTTGTTTTGGTGCAGTCTTTCTAAGAGCAAGGGCAGCATACGAATTTTTAGCTTTATTTGTACTTACTGGGTAAGAATTTCTGTGGTGAAGGCAAGGGGTAGTTTAAGTATGGCTAGAATTACCTGCTTAAGTTTTAGGTGTTTTATACTGGAACTGGCTTCATTTTCACCGAAACCATTTGAATACTTTTGTCTGAGGCTTCAAATCTGTTAGTCCATCTTAATTAATAAATGCTCAGCCCTAAACCTCAGAGGGTGCTATTCCTCATTCCTTCCACTACATTTCTCTGCTACATGTTTTTGTTTTTTATCGTTTTGTTAGTTGTCAATCACATTAGGCTATTAAAATGTTGGTTAGTGTACACTTTGGGTTTTGTATCAGAAATAGATAAATCTATACAGATCCAAGACAGCCTTCAGTGTAAGTTCCCTGCAGCCTTTCTGCAGTGGCCAGAACCCTCTAAAAATATCTGCAGACTCGAGGGGTGCGTGTACGCCTCAGTATATGGATCTGACCCCAGCTGGGGCAAGAGAACTGTATTTCCCTTGAGATCAGCTTTTTGGCTTTTTAACTGCAGATGGCAGTGCATACCAAAATTAAAGAAGGGTGAATACTTGTAAAATTGCATTTGCTTCCAACTAATTTGGGTGGCGGCTTTAGTTTTAAAAGTTTGAGTAATGAGCGTTAGTAAATTAATCCAGTGCGGCTTTGTTACGTGGTGGGAATGGAAGTGATGCTGTTGTGGTCTGGTACTTAGAAGGACAAAGAGCCCTGAGACTTAGAACTTGAACTGTGACTTTATAATTGGTGCACAGTTTCTTTATATTCTGCTGTGCGCTGACAAGAGGGCAGATAACTGGAGTTGCAGGTTTCGTAAGATGGGCTACTAATCTTTCCACTTAAGTGCTGGGTAGGTTTTATCAGTAGCAGTTTCAAGTTGAATTTGAGAGAACAGTTCAGTTTCCTGTGTAACTCTTGGTCTTAAGCTGTTAAGAATTGGTTTAAAATGTCCCTGAATTTACTCTGTGCTTTGAAAATGCGTTTTTCTGATTTTTGTTTGCTACAAACGTCATTCCACAGGTGCATCCTGGTTCGTTTTAAGATGCATCCTTTTATGGTTATAAGCATCTGAACATGAGATGTTCAGATGAGATGCTTTTGTAGTTCTGGCTCCAAGTCCTCTGAAAGTCCCAATCAAAGGATGCCCAGTCATCACAGGATTGAGATGGCTGTCCTTTTTGAAATGCCTTATCCGTGGGGGAGTGACGTCCTGCTCCTTACAGCAGGCTGGTACCCACGTCCCTTGTCTGTGGTGCTGCGCCCCTTTTCATTCTGACGGGTTCAGCCACACAGCTCCGGCCTCGCAGGAGCATGGACTTTGGTAGGGCTGTCTAGTACTTCTGGTTCCAGTTAAGTCAGGATGCATGGGACCAGAAAAAATCCAGCTGGAAGGGGCCTGTTTCAGTCATCAAATAGGTAGGAGACACATTGGAAGAGAATACTCCTTGGTCAAAAACTTGTTTTCTTTTCATTTCTG